ACTGTCCGCTGCCTGTTCGGCAGTGATGCGTGTGCTGATGAAAGCGAAGTTCCGGTCAAATTCGTCAGCCTTTTCTATGGGCAGGTCCTCAGTGGCACTCCTGCCTTCCTTCGCTGGCTGGAAAGCGGAGTTCACAAGTCTTCGTCAGAAATCAGCACGGTCGGTGAGCATCGCATCGCATAAGAAACCACGCCTCGATCTCGCAAAGTGGCCTCTCACCGAAGTTCCGAAGTTGTTCCGAAGGCGTCGGTAAGCCGATAGGTCGGTTTTGGCCCCAGATCCGCGGCATACTGTGTACGCGTCTTCGCGCCGCCGCATCACGCGTCGCCGGCCGGGGCAGTCCTCAAGCCATGGACAATGGCAACGACGACGGGGAGGTACGGTTTTTAGGGGGCAGTCCACCACACTCCACCGCACGCGCATGCACTCGGTCACTTTCTGCTCCGCTTCCTCGCTTCGGTAAACTGGACTCCAGTCAGCCTGAAGAACATCGAGGCAAAGCGCCTCCCAGCTAACCTTGCGCCACGAACGGCTGTACCACACTGCGACTCTCGTGGCACCGTACCGGAGACAAGTCAGCGGTGTCGTGGTGGAGCTGAACACCAGTGACGGCTCGTCCTGCACACCACTGCAGCTGGCCACACTGCAAAACCTGGTGCGGAGCATGGACTCCAGCTGACACGCAGGGTGTTCCGGCACAGGGTGATGCAGTGCTAGCTTACGAACTGGCCAGTTCTAAAACTAGCTCTCCGAACAAATCGATGCCACCGAATCTCGTTCCAATGTGCGCGTGACCTGTAGAGTCCGAAGTTTGAAATTTAACGACCGTAAAATTATGAAATTAAGCTTAACAAATGGTCGGCGAATCGGTGATGAAATGCGTTCGTGGCAAAATACAGCACCAAAATGATTGACGGTGTGCCGGAGTACAGGTTCAAACCCCGGCCTATCCCGCTTATTTGAATGTCTATTCCGACACATCAGGTGTGCAATTTTTACCAGACATTGCTGAACGGACGGAATCGCCGTAACAGCGCTCTCTGCTATGCTCCCGATTTTCGACTACGCTGGCCGTAACGCGACGAAGTCGCCGGCAGAAAATATCAATATTTGGTATGAAGACCTTCAGGGAACAGTAATACAATATTTTAGAACCCTTCTTATGTTCGGAGAGAACTTACACAAAGGAAGGAGACAACCTACTGCTCCACCATAGCGTCACAGTTACAGAGCGAGGCACAACAGTGGCCTTTACCTCACCGGAGCAGTGGTACGCCGCCTGCCTTGATGGACGCAGTATGTGGCGTAAGCGGCTGACATCATGACGTGCCATGATGCCAATTAGGCCGTGCCAATTAGGTTTGTTGTTCCAGTTGTGATAGCGCTTTGCATTGATATGGCCGGGCCAGAAAAACCAGGCCACGGCAGTGCTGGGTGGACATGTACCCGACCCAGCACCGCACGCAAACGTCCTTCATGACGATGCGCGGGTGCACCAGATCCACGGCTGGCCTTCTCATACGAACGACCATCGATCGGGTATAGCCCACATCGCAATGTGTCCACGCGGCGTCGAAGCTTGGAGCCAGCCGCCACGTTGCACTGCCAAAATCGTCTCATCGCTGGTTGCCGCCAGGTCACGCAACATTGCAAACTAAAGCTTCCCCGCGCAAGCGCGCCAATCTCACGCGGTTATTTGCTACTTTGAGTCCCGCGCAGCCCGCCAGAAAGCAGCCAGTAGCCGCATAGCAGCCATCACGAGATATATAAAGCCACTTCCGAAGAAGTGTAGAAGACCCTAGGGAAGTTTTCACCGGATCTATAAATGACTCCAAACAGGTCAGAGGATTAAAGAACAGCTTAAATACTTCGGAGGAGGATTGTATTGGCATCACGGTCTGTAGGTGGCGAAAGATTGAGATTATGTACAGCCCGAGGCGGAAAATCAGAGGCTAGGTTCAGGAGTTCGCGGGGCAAAAGTTTACGTTCCAACTGATAGCGTAACACTTTGTTGGACAGGCTGTCACCAACCGTATCGCCAGGGTGTAAAACAACTCAGAACTACACCCAATTACAAACCAAGCATCATTTTGCGCCCCTGTAGCATGAACGCAACGTTCAAATCCCAACAAATCCGAACGCTGCCAGGTAAACGAACTACATGGATTATGGTTGTCAAAATCCTGCCTATGGCGCGGTACAGCCCACCAGCGCAGCGTGCACGTGACTCCGAATGCGGGACCACACGCGCCGAGAGGCATCTGACAGACTGAGGCAACGGGTGACAGGCTGCTGACGCGTCCAACCCAAATATCTATCTCTGCGAGAAATTCGACAGGTAGCTTGAGACACACGTCAGATTCCCAAAGCCCGCCAGCTTGTACGTAGAATACGTAATGTAAGACAGGCGTTCCCGACGGGGTGGAAGTCACCCAAGGGAAAACGGGGTCTCAGCGACGGGACTGCGATGCAGCCGAGTCAGGTCTGACTGCGGAAAACCGTCCAGGAAGCGCGTGCAGGTAAACGCCGACTGGAAAGTGCTCCAGCTGCACGCACTACCATGCGCTACATGCACTAAGCCCAAAGTACCGTTCTGCTACAATTTCCCAAAGCAAGGGAGTGTTCTCACGAACGTGGAGCCTTCGGACAGCGATGATTTGACTCGTGTTGTTCGAATACCATCGCTGTGAAGATCACTTCTATGCACGCCTCAGCTGCCTGAATGATCCTGTATACAGCAAGCGGTAACAAACGCAGAGCTAATGTTCATCGCGTTTTGTTGTTGGGTTCGGAAGCGGAGTGATAACTTGATCCACCCATCCATTTGATTCATTTGATCCATCAAAGGGAAATCCCCGAAAGTTCATGAAACACTGATGATAATGATGGCCAGTTATCTCATACCTGGGATTACTGGCCATAAGCATCTAGCTGAATACCCCGTTTATAGGCAGCTCCACTTACTGATAAACGGGGTAGTTGCGTGGCTGCTGCGTGCTTTCAAAAGCAAGAAATACCATACTTTCAGATCCATCACATTCACATCCGTTAAAAATCACCTGTTATATTGTCCAACGAGTAGCAAGTTCATATCATGATAGTCGGTAAAAAGTTAACAAAGCTACCGATTCACGGAAACACCATAACACACAACCATACCGTGCATGTTGGCTACGTACCCTAAGCATTGCAAGGCCAGGCATGCAGACGTCGTCCATGTCGAGATCGAGCATCTATTGTCGATGTGAACGTTGCAGAAAACGCATAGAAATGCACTCATTGCCCCAGCTTCGATGCCCTGCCCCTACACGAGATATCAACCTCCAGCATCGCGCAGTGAGCCGAGCCGATTCATTAATCAACTACGAAAGCACATCTCATCTCCGTGGCCGCCGCGGTCGGTGCGCGGGGCCGCCGCGGTCCCCACCCGCGGCACGCCGCTGTCTTCGTTGTCGTGTCCCATGCGCCACAGGTGATACCGAACAGATCACAACGCGCCGCTGCCGCTGCCACTGGAGAGGGCGACAAGCCCCCCCAGCAGCCCTCCCCCGTCGCCGCGCGCCGCCCCAGTCGTTGTCTCCGAGAGCCGACCCCACGGCGCAGACCGGACCCACTACTGCACCACGTAAGCCGACCCCGCGGCACAGACCGAACTCACTACTGCACCACGTAGGCCGACTCCGCGGCGCAGACCGGACTCACTACTGCACCACGTAGGCCGACCCCGCGGCGCAGACCGGACTCATTTCTGCACCACATAAGCCGACCCCGCGGCGCAGACCGGGCCCACTACTGCACCACGTAAGCCGACCCCGCTGCGCAGACCGGACTCATTTCTGCACCACATAAGCCGATCCCGCGGCGCAGGCCGAGTCCACTACTGCACCACGTAAGCCGACCCTGCGGTGCAGACCAGGTCCACAACTGCATCACGTAAGCCGACCCCGCGGCGTAGACCAGGCCCATTACTGCACCACGTAAGCCGGTAAGCCGACGCCGCGGCACAGACCGGACTCACTACTGCACCACGTAAGCCGACCCCGCGGCGCGAACCGGATTCACTACTGCACCACGTATTGTTTGTAGCCGCGGATCGTCTTTAGCTGTCGCTTCATCAGGCGCACGAGGTCGGCCGGCTGCACCACCAGGCTGATGTCACGACCCACCGCCGCCAGACGGCTGCCCAGCTCGCCGCCCTTGCTGAAGAGGCTGACGGCGCGGCTGTTGACCTCGGTGATGTACCAGTTGCAGAGGGAGAGGCCGTCGGCCGAGCCGGAGCGGGCCGGCAGGCCGTGCCCGGCCGCCAGACCGTCCGGCAGCACCTGCGACGCACAGCGGGCGGCGTCAACGGACGGTGTCAGCGGGCGGCGTCAGCGGGCGGCGAATAGCGGGCGGTGCGCAGCGGGCGGCGCCAGCGGGCCAACACAGCGCGGCCTCGTGCGCACACACACAGCGGATAATTGCCAAGCGCAAGACACGGCGCCAGCGTGGCGGCGTCGCAAACGGTCTGGCACAAAGCGTGGCGGCACATCATCTGAAATACACAAGAGGTAAGCTTGTGCTTTCATACTGCTTACTTTAAATCCATGTTAAATCATGCATCTCTTGTGCGCGTCACTACATCACTACACGCCAAATCTGTTAGAAACAGAGATTTTGGTCTTCATTTCTTTTGACTTGGACGAAGCCTGATGGAATGGAGCATCCCAATACGGATGATCACAGGCCCAGTTGAATTTTCACATGACCAGTGCTTCAATGCCCATCTCTTCCGACCGACCAACGCAAAGACCTTCAAATGTCCCTATAGTTGCATCAGACTGACGTAAACTGACAACTTGACACCATTCAGTGGCGATCTTATGTTTCTTTTCAACGCGCGAAGTTTCGCTGTGTGGCGATCTGAAATTGATTTGACATAGTCAAATGTTTCGATTTGATCATTCTGTACTTTACATCTTTCAAACCATTGTCTCAGACTTTTTCGAATGCCTCGTTTTTGTAACACGTCGGATTAAACGTGATAAGGTTCAGTAGTATCTGATTCACACCGCGTTTTGTTACGGACACAACGGAGGGCAATTCACGCCCGTCCCGACTGCCGTGGTGCCTGGGAGTCAGCTGACACCAGCCAAAGACATGTGGCATTTGCCACGGAATGAGTCCGGCCTTCATTGACCCTACCACTACACAATACAAATTTTCTTTCCTACGGACGCTTCGCATTTTTAATTGTTTTGCATCTGCAATGACATCCGACTCGATGGCAGACGACCGTCCGACTTACATTGACTAACATCGAAATCGGTAATTGGGCCGAACAGGGTCGTTCAGGTGTACATGACATGCTAGAACGGGGCAGCGTGTGACCAACGAGTGCATTTCTTTTCGACATAATACTTCATCTGACTCAGCTGTTTCCACTCAGAAACATTATGAGTCACACTGGTAAACGTAAGCACGTGATCTGTACCGGACCGGTTCCTCTTGATGAAAACGTGGTTCGCACAGCCTGGGTTTTAAGTCACATGACCCAGACAGTTGCCAACTTCGACTCAATAACGAGACCATGACAGCCAGTGTTAACCACGAACTCAGGACGCAACAAATAGTAATTGTTGCGGTTGTGGTACTAATTCGGGAGCTCGAATGGCTGTGAGTGTCCGTGAAAGTAATAAAACCATACGAACGAACCAATCAATGACATATGGCATGGAAGTGAACTAGGACGAAATGAAAACATGATGCAAGTGATTAAACCGTGTTTACGTCACACATATATGGTTGCCCAGCAACAGTGCCCCAAAAGGGGCCGCTGTGGAATTTAAAGTTGCATTTGCGGCACGCCAACGTTCTATGTTTCGTGACGTCACGTAGAATCTCCGCCGGACGAGCGCATCGCCATAATAGCTTTGGCAAGCCACACCACTGAGTTTGATCGGGCTTGATCAATGGCTTGGAAAAGCTTTCACGAGACTTTCAACTTTCACGAGAATTCGACGGGTGGAGATCCATTGATGCGGCAGTTGCGTGCTAAGTCAAGAACAGAATTCCTTGAAAATTGGCTGGCTGTAAGTCGGACTAATTCAGCTAGTTTCCTTGGATACAAGGTAATGGGACCGACAGATCCGACAGAACTCATAGCCTTGGACAGACTGACAAAAGGTCTGACAGAGCTGCGACCGACAGGCAGACGTTAAGATGGCTAGCCATCGTCATATATATATATATATATATATATATATATATATATATATATAGCCATAGCCATATATAACCATAGCCATATATATATATATATATATATATATATATATATATATATGAGAACATGTTGCAACCAAATTTGGCAACATCTGCCTTTTCTCAAGTCGCGTGCCCGTCTGGCAGTCGTTTTTACAACGCTGTCTTAATCCGGTGTCGTATGTAAACTGACCTTCGCCTTAATTAGCAGAGGCTGACCACCACGCATCTGACTGCCGGCACACACCCTTATCACCATTTCACCCAGTGCCGCAAAACACGCTCATCCCACACCAGCCACACACAGGCACGAGGCCGGCTCTGGTCCGGCGTCGTCTTCGCGAAACCGCAGTTTCCTCCAATGACTTCGGATTCGGCTTCGGCTTTGAGTCATTTGCTACGGCAGGCTTCGGCTTTGACTTCGACGTCATGCCATTTTAAACAGCTGGCTTCCGGCCGACACAGAACCGGACCTTTCTAACGCGGTGGGACGGTCTGGTTGGTTTGCGTCTCCACGCATGCTTGCGCGCGGACGTGCGTGCGTGCGTGCGTGCGTGCGTGCGTGTGTACGCGCGTGTGCGTGCATGTATGTGCGTGTATCTATAGGTCTAGATAAGGGATGCTCCCCAGAACCCCTTTATTTTATCGCACCTTTGGAAATGGACCATGTAGGTTCTGACGCAAACCATCTGAGCCCTGTCATATCACGTCTTTGGCCTGCTTCATAACCGGCAACAGTTTTCCACTAATACCAGACCAGAGGAGCACGAAACTAACCTAGGATATTCGGGGAAGGTGCGTTTAAACATTCAGGGCACGATGTTACGATTATATCGCTTTAGTTTCTTTCCTTGCTTCAAGTCATTGACAGCACATTTTCCAAGACCAAAGCCTGTCACTCATTATGGCGAATTCATTTTCTACCACATGCAGCAAGCTATAGCTGCAACAACCTTCTTTCTACCACCGAAGCAAAGATGTGCTCCCCATCGGAAGCGGTACTCCGGCTCCTCAGACGACCCAGCCGCCGTCCCTGAGCAGACCCAGCTCCTGTCCCTCCGCGACCCATGAGGCGCCCTGACTCACCTGGGGGACCTCGCCGGTGCCGCCGTCCCTGAACAGGCCCAGCTCCTGTCCCTTCGCGACCCATGAGGCGCCCTGACTGACCTGGAGGACCTCCCCGGTGCCGCCGTCCCTGAGCAGACCCAGCTCCTGTCCCTCCGTCTCACGCCTCATCGAGACCACCATGGCGTGCGGCATCCGCTGCACCACCAGCTCCGTCTGACGGCAGATGATGACGCCCCATGTCAGCGACGGCAGCGTTTATCAAACTGCTCACGTAGCAACATCTGCAGGTAATTGACGACTTAACGGTTGTTTCCTGGTTCCAACCGCGTGCCGTAGAAGCGTTACTCGTTTCAGAACCTGGTTTCGAGACGAGGGCATAATGAAACGCCCTTTATGACATAAAGCCAACGGCAGTGTCACACCACGCACTCAACTGTCATCCGCATACGACGGGTCACACTAGCAATAACAGCCTGGCCCAGACAGGAAGACGTGCCAAGGAGCGGCTGACTCAGCAGCTGCCCCGCAGCCGACATGACACCGGGCGACGCGGGGACGTGACATCGGCAGCCCGGCCCGCCCACCGTCGTCCGGCCCGGCCCGGCCCGGCCCCGCCCGGCCCGATCCGTACCACGGGCGCCTGCTGCTGCTTCACGAGCCGGGAGAACTCGGCAGCCGAGGTCACAGCCACGCCGCCCACAGAGGCCACCCGGTCGCCCACGTGCAGCGCGCAGGACAGCGTCGGCTGCTCCTTCCACCGCCAGCCGCAGAGCCTGGAAGGAGAACACCGGACCGAGGTCACCGAGGTTACCACGGCGCGTAGGCGGCACAGGACACGTCACAGCGGGGCAGCCCACGAGCGCTTAATCCCGCCACATGACAGAAAGCATGGCGCATCCGAGGCTCAATATTACGAGATACTCTGCACATACAGGATAGGACTATCTCAAATCAACTCCAGAGTTTCACCACATACCTCCTTACCCCGCATCCCGACAGAGACTGGTTTACTTTCACAGTCCAGTGAAAACATTACACATCAGATCTTACTTGATTAGCAGCAAAGGATCCCACCGCAATCCCGTGATACTCACCATGTTACGCTTCCATCGCCCCCCGCAGATACCATCAGCACCCCGCCCTGTCCAGCATCTCTCGGCAGCACGGGACCCACCAAACCACACCACATTCCGTGGCGCTCCTCCGTCTCCCGCGCGGGGGTGACGCCCCTGTGGGGGGGGGGGGGGGTTGCCCGGACCGCGGTGACACCCTTGTGGCTGGCCGCGTCTGCCCAGGCCGAGCGGTACGCACCAGACAGCGCCGAAGCCGTCTGCCAGCGCCAGCGCGCCGCTGAGCGTGCGGCGCGGCAGCACCAGCCGCACGCCGGGCCGGTGCGCGATCTCGCGCCGCAGTGCCAGCACCTGGTGCTCGCGCAGGCCCAGCTGCCGGCCACCCTCCTGCGGCGTCGTGGGCACACGGTCAGCGCACTAGGGAGCGGGCGCCAGGCAAAGGGCGTCGCTACGGTGCACGAGCTACGTTAGGCGGAGACGGCGGTAACTGCGTGAAGCCGACCAGGGGCCGGCGGGCACCACCTGAGATGCCGATCAGGGGTCGCGAGAGAAGCCACGGCTCGTGCCAGTGGCGGACGGACGAGAGCGCGACAAGGACAAAGGGAGCGCATGAGGCAGGGCATGCCAGCCAATCAGCAGGTGGGACACTACATGTACTACTATATACTACTATATACTACTATATACTACTACTATATGATACTACTCACGGACACTACATGAATGGCTACATGATGACACCAGCCTTCAAAACTGTTTCATTTACTGCGCACAATGATCCACAAGTTCACATGAAATTCAGCACACAAAACTTAAGTAGCCATCCTCATCATTATCACGAAACCCAGGCTGCCCTAAGCACCTTCCTGTTAGCTCAGCCAGACCTGTCGTTGCCCATCCGACTGTGACTAGAGCCCTGCACCCAGGTGTGGGGAATGCCTGTCTGGCGCCGTACTGACCCGGCCGGCGGGTGCCGCGGACGGCCGCCGCTCGCCACCGGCGGCGCCGCTGCGGCTGTGGAGGCTGGTGTCGCTGGTCTGCCGCTGCAGCAGCGGTCGCGGCACCGGCCGCTGCTGCGGCACCGAGCTGTGCGAGCGCTGCACGCTGGCGTGCGGCCGCGGCGTCGTCGCGCACGGCTGGCGGCCGGCTGCCGCCGTCGCCGCGCTGCTCGCCTCGCTCAGCCGCTCGTACAGGCCGGCGGCGGCGCGCGCCGGCGCCGGCCCGAACAGCTGCCGGTCGGCGCGCCACTCGGAGAGCGTCTGCTGTGGCGCGGCCGGCGGCCGGGCCGTGGCGGCCGTCTCGGCGGCGGCGCCCGGCGTGTCCGGCACGGTCAGCCGCAGCGCCCCGCCCACGCTTATCACAGTCACGTGCCGCGACCCTTCGTCGCCGCCGGCTGCCGCGGGGCCGGCGCCCGGCGGCACCGCCGGCGGCGTCGGCGGCGGCGTGGTGGGCGGCGTGTAGAAGCGCTCCCAGCGGCCGGGCGGCGAGGCCGGCGGCGTAACGGGCGCTGCGCGCACCGTCACCGGCACCGACGGCGCCGCGCGACGCGGCACAGCCGGCTCGGCCGGTGGCGTGCCGTCGCCGGCCGGCGCAGCGCTGGGCGACTCGGAGTGTACATCCTCGGAGGTGGCTGTCGGCGGGGATGGCGCTCGCGGACGCGGGGGCGCTGCGGAGCACGGCACCACGCCCTCAGACCGCCGCTGAGGCGGGCGTGAACAACGCAAGGCAGCACGCTTTGTTTGGATGCTATTCAACACAATTCTAATGGCGAATGTCCACAAAGCAAGTTATGTAATGAGCTATGTTTCGCATTCAAAGGTTACGAGCTTCACGTACACAATGCAAACTTCAGTATGGTCTCAAATAGTATTGCCGAAGAACAGCAAAACAAACCACCAGTTACACTGTTCCAAAATGCGATATATTATACAAAGCAAAAAAAGCTTTTAACAGCATAGCAAGAGGGGACAGGAGGTATGGAGCTATTTTCGCAAACACGACTCAAACTGTTAAAAGACGCGCCTTTCCAACCTACATCTGGACCCGACGACTAAAATTATAATCATACCTTGCTGCCTACTTTGCGGTGTGTTTGCAGCGCAAAAATATTGAGTCAAGATCTTGGTGGACAGATTTTCAGAAATATGTAAACTGCAACAGGCACTGAAACCATTCACAGCCATAGTAACTAAATTTGATAAGGTATTGTGCAGCAAGTTCGTTGTTTCCCCTCCCATGGTAATGCTGGTCACCTCCCTACTGCCCATCCCTGTGGTGTCAGAAGGGGTGGAGTCTCACCAGACTGCAGCAGGGTCGTGTTGAGCACTGGCAGCGGCGGCGGCGGCGGCAGAGGCGAGTTCGGATCACGCTGAAGACCAAACTGCACCAGCTGCCGTGGCGCCCGCGAGTACAGGTTGGACTTGGACTCCAGCACTTTAAGCTCATGAAGCTGGTTCCGCAAAATTGATATCCAATCATTGATCACCTCCCTGAAATTTTTCGTTCCGTAAGAGAGGGTGCCCCGAGATGTCAGAGCTAGTCAGCACCACACACAATAGCACGATACATAGAACACCAGTCATGATATAACGATGAGCCATGAAAAACAGCTCACAAATCTATCACCAGCCATTCATGTGTTGCCAATCAAGACAGGTTTGAACAAGCTAAAGAAGCTTGAGTACATTCAGTGATAGGAGGACACACAGAGATTCCGATTTACGAATGGGCCAGCACCCACACTTAACCTACACACATTTCCATCACGCACGCCAAGTTCCAAACACACACACCCATCCATGACCGGCCCCACGACGGTCTCGGACTGCCCTGGCCCCAGCTCACTGTCGGGATGACGAGAACTTGACCACGTCCTGGCGCAGCGTGACCACGAACTCGTGCTCCTCCTCCAGCGTGGCGCGGATGCTGGCCGACACGTGGAAACACTCGGCCAGTGGGTAGGCGAAGTCGGGCTGGTGGCCGGCGGCCAGCTGCCGCGAGTCATACTGCTCCAGAAACGGACTCCGCTCGTCGTGCACGCAGAACACCAGCCACACCTTCTGGATGCGCGGGCTCTGCAGCAGCGGCCGGCACCATATGAGCCGCACGGAGGCCGAGGCACGGACCTCTGGACAGCTGCGCGGCGACCGAGACACGAGCCTCTGGACAGCTGCACGGAGACCGAGGCACGAACCTCTGGACAGCTGCACGGCGACCGAGGCACGAGCCTCTGGACAGCCGCACGGCGACCGTGGCACGAACCTCTGGACAGCCGCACGACGACCGAGGCACGAGCCTCTGGACAGCCGCACGGCGACCGAGACACGAGCGCCCAGACAATGGACAGTAATTCAGCCAACTGGACTTGTTTCTGTCCCTTTGTTTTAATAGTCTTGACCAGTTGGTACTGGCAAACAATATTGAAAATCCATAATGCTAAGAATTATTACTAGTTCACAATCATTTTCATTTTGATACAACTGTGTTTTTTCAGCTCAGTATTATTTTGATAGCCTGGAAATGCCACTGCCATTTGATTGCTTGGAAACTAAATATCATATTCATCTGTCATGCATCCAATAGTAGCCCAGTGACAACACCAATATTTCCACTCAAGGGCTTGTTACAAGAACACCAGTTAAAAGCTGGAGAGAAATGCACACAACAAGTTCACCTTGAATGCTTTCTTTTTATCATCTGAGGTAATTTTCTTCAACCATCCTGCTCTATAGACTTCTCTTACACCAGCCATGCTGGCATAACTTTATCATGCAGCTGTGGAAATGAAAGAAGTGCATTAGACATAATACATACATACTTCAACATCAACAACATGCCCTAAACCGAGCTACACCTTAACAGCCAGGTTTTGGGTGCAAAATTAGTTTGATTGTCTAAATGATGGCATAGTATGGTGGCATGAAAATACAGCAAAGTCAGCCAAATACTAGGCTTAACTTTCATCATCAGGTCACCTTGGCATTTACAATGACTTAAAGTTACGCAGTTGTGATATGCACTTTTTGTTCATTTGCTCCAGATGGGGCTGTTTTTTTGTTTATGCTCTCTAAGTTTGTACCATGTGCATTGCCTATTGCCATTTTTAGTTTTTGTCGAGATGGATAACAATCAATGACCAAGTCTGAAATATATCTGCTATGCATTCATGTTTTTATGATATATCATAGATAAAGTATTATTATCATTTGATATTCTAAGAATAACTATGTGAAAAATACATAAAACAATAAAAATAAAAATGGAGAGCCTATTTAAGCCTTGATTTGAGCTTCAGGGTGCATCAAGTGGTCATACAGGAAGGCACACTTAAAAGTGTGGCCAGGTACATCAATAATGCTCAACACCAGACAGGCAACTGTGGTGAGAGGAATAAAGCCATGTACAATACTTCCTGCATTTGGTACACATCTGGGCCTGCAGCAATTAATGGAAAGACACAAAGAAACAATGATGCTTGCCATTCCTACCCCTAATGCAGCCACAGGCTTCAACAGATTCACAACTCAGCACCAGCTCACAAATGTATCTGTCTCTGGTAAAACACATAGAAATTGCATTCATGAAGCTTGCAGAGTAGGTTTCCTCCACAAAGTTGCAACTAGTATTTCTTCTGTAACTCCATCACACCAATAACCCCTCCCTACCTTCAATCGAAGGATGGTCTTAAACTGAAAAATATGTTCATCTCTGCCCAGCATTCCTTCTTGTGAAATGTTATTCTCTACAAACAGGTTGCTCCATTATCACCTCCACACCAGGATTAAGGGTCATCCATATATCATGTTACACATGGAGTGGTTCACACAGAAAGGGCATTTGGTGACACATAGAGTAAGTGTAACAAGGAGAGGGTCTGATTTGGACAGCATGGCATTAATCTCACGAAAAGTTGCAAATCAAGCTGAGCACTGCTCTCAATGTACGAAGCCCTTAAAGCCAGCTTGTGGTGGTTTCCTCTGATAAGTAACACACTTATCTTTGTTTCACACCTCTAGCCCTATTGGGGGACAATGAGATATCTTTCAGGAAAATTACAATTAACACAGTACAATAAGGGGGATGGTGGGTTCCACTAGCAGTAGTCAGTGTTAGGAGACAGACTGAAAATAAGCCAAAATGTGTAAAAACTCATGGGTGGTCCCAAAAATAATTTTCCAACCAGAATTGTCTTTGCTACAACAGAAAAATGCATCGCACAAATCATCCCATTAAATCCTTGTAAATGGCCTACAAGCTGCAACGTGCAGCCACCACACGTACCGATCCACCATTCATTGTGTCCGAACTTAAAGAACGGGTTTGAGTAGTGCTCAATGTCATAAGGAAAGATCCGCGACTTCAGCCCAACGAAACAATACGCACCCCTCACAGTAACGCCACAACAGCATTGTAATCAGTCATCACGCCAACTCAGGCCAGCACATGTCTCAGAACTCACCCGGACCCCCTCCCGAACTCCTCAACCCCCGCAAATGAACGAGGAATCCACCAGGGCGATGGAACACCTAATCAGCGGTGCTGCCCTGGGAATCAACTGAGCACGCAAGGCAGCCCGCAAGGTTCAGTCTTTACAGCGAACGCCATGACGGCTTTATGTTGCAAGCAATTCGGCTTGTGACGTCACTGAGTATAAGTCACTGGGCTTTTAAACATTTAGTGAGCACGTCCTCAGCCAGAATTTGGCTGTGACACATGATGCACGCAGTCCCGATGTCGAAAGACCTGCATTATAGACTGGGCAGCCTGACGCGTAGCCCACAGAGGTGTTGCAACCCATTGGCGTGGGCTCGAGCCCCGATGCGTTCCATATGTCCATTCTTAGCCATATCATTTCATTGTCCACTCTGACCAAAATGCGAGTCAGCCATGTCTGGCAGCCACCGGACTGCTACACTAAGTATATGTTCCCAGTTCAAAACGCAGGCGTGGGCTTGGGCCGCGTGGGCTTCGGATGCCTCCGGATGTCTTCCCAAGGGGCACCTGCTCCAAACCAGACTGGCATGCTCAGAGTTTTATGAGACCACTGCAGCGCTTAAAATGTATAGGCCTCTACCACTATTTTGAGAGATGACCTGGCTGTACTGAGCAAAGCTGAAATCAATCACGGTGCTTGTTGTCAACGACTCCGAATTTTATAATGCATGCATGGTGGTCGATATCTTAGTCGCCATCAAATGCTCTCGCTGTGCTACCTCGTTACGCTACGTCGAGGGACTCTTATTGACGTCATATGGTGGCGGCACTCCTAATGTAAACAAATCGTTTGACGATTTATGCCGTATACAGAGTCCTTGGTTCGTATAGGCGCATGTGTTTCGTTGCGGCAAGGCCATCTAGAGACGCTGTTTAATAACAAAGACGCGACGCTATATGGGCGTCACATATATTGTTAAGAAATCAAGTTCTCGTGTGATTACACTGTAATTTCGGAGGATGCCCATGCTTTTGGGCATTCCTCGCTGGATCGTTTGGACTGGAGCCGGAGCTTCCTATCTTATGATGATAATTGTATTCGTGCATCTTTGATTTCTTTGGTAGGTAGGGTAGAGTGTGAGTATAATCGTATAACACAGTGTTTCAGTTTGAAGAATGGACTGGGAGAAGAAGTTTAATAATATCATTAGAGATACTGATGCCAATCTAGAAAAGGTTAAGGTAAGCATGATTAAAAAAGCTGAATGATTCACATTTGATTATCATAGTTGCCTTGTTGAAATGCTTCAAAATGCTCACTTATGAACCTGCAGATCTGTGCTGGCATGGGTGAAGATTTGCATTCTTGATGTGGTTATGGTCATTGGTGTGGCCATAATTTTTCTTAGGTGGGGAGCTTCTGACCAAAGTGGGTCCCAGACTGATCACCCTGATTTCAAGTGGGCCCCTTGTGTTGCTTAGGTGCTGTTTTTTATTCATGAAAGTTTGCAGGTTCAGAATGTCATGTCTGGTGGCCTCAGGGCCTGCCTTTGTAATGAAGAAATGGTACAGCCTGCAAAGATTGTGAATTGTAAAAAAGTTGATGGTCATTGTCCCCTGTGCAAGTTTGTTGAAAATACATCCTTTGGGGTGGATGCCTATGTGACTTGGTGCTCTGATTCTCACACCCAAGTGAGCAAGCTAAGGCAGACCAACTGTGCTGAATTTACATACCATGGTTTTGATAGATGTTTGCATGACATTTTTCCTGAAATTGCCTTTGACATCACAATTCCTTGAAAAATTGGCTTGAACTACTGAAATTAGGCTGCATCTTACATCAAACTGAGAGGTCAGATGCATGATTCATGCCATACAAAATAATTCCAAAATATTTTTCGAGCAAAACCAATTGAAAATTTAGCACAAGTTGGCCTGACCTGAGTTCTGCCTGCATACTTAAGGTTCAACACACCAATGTTTATAGTTGTCCAGCTCAGTGGTTGTAGTTTACACTTGGGCCCTTGCTACCTCTAAGGAAGCCATGGCCCCAAAGCTCTTCCTCTTGGCTGCACAGCTGGCCTTGGCCCTTAATGTCTGTCCCTGTCCTAATACTTACACCTCACTTTCACATGAATTGGATTGGTAATTGGAAAACCAGCATATTTTGACTGGACTTGCACCTGGTTTGATCTAAATTCAAATGGTATCAAGTATCACCAATTTTCTCTATATTAAGCATCATTTGGATCTGTAGCATTGAATACAGTGTTAAGTATTATTTGATTTCTGCTGCTTAGATAACCTGAATTAACATTGATTTACTGTAAGCAGGTATATAGTGACCAGTTCCTGAACAGTTGAAGTGACTGTTTTGATAACCAACAATAGTAGATGACATGGCAATCAACAATTTTGTTAATCATTAAACTTGACTGGCCTTCTGGAACTCATCAGAGTGGACTGCTTAAACTAAAGAATAGAAGCGAAGGTTTATAATGGTCATATTGTATGTAAGTGGGCAGTCCGGTTGGACATTGGGTGGACATAGCCTTGACATCTATTAACACTGCAGAGGAGCTTACCTGTCCTGCAAATTTACCACTCTAGCACAGATGCTAGGCATCTAGATATTGTATAGATATTAAATGCATTCCTTGACATGAACAAATCTGTACAGTATGCTACTAATTGTACTATACTAAACATAATTTGTAGATGCTCTTGAGACTGTTTGAGCACCTCAGACATTTGATGCAGCCAGATCTTTGACTTCTCAGAAGTCTGCAATATGCTCTTGAATTGGGATCACATTAATTAGTTTCAAGTACATTTGAATTGGTTTGAGTGGAATTGAACAAATATTAAATTCATTGTCATGTGACAGTGGTACCTCATCTGCCTTTTGGGATGAACTTTAAGCATGCAAGTTATTGTCCCATCTGAAACCCTTAATGTGAAACACATTTCTTAATGTAGACATTTGAGGTTTCCTGATGTAGTCTTATGCTAAGCAAGTAGATTCATTATAGTGTGAAAATTTGCTACTGCTGATTATTATTTTGCCTCAGGTTTTATAAGATGTAATAACAAAATGTCTCCATTGCTGGTGTGTTTGTGAGCCCCATAATGGTCAAATGCATTTTGTGGTTCCCAGTCATCATTGATCATTGTTCAAGGCAGTATCCACACATCACTAAATATGCATTCCATTTTAATGGGGTATGCTTGCCAGAAACGTTCTGTTTTTTCAGTCAGATCATTTCCTTGCAGCTTAGCCTTTATCAGCTTGCCAAATATCAATCCAGCGTCAGTGCTCGCACCTGTGCATCCCTGCATCCCTGCTGTATGCTCCAGTCGGTCTAGAGCTGGTTGCGGAGCTGGACCGGGCTGTTTCAGTCACGTGTCATGCTGTCGCACTGCTCGACGGGCGGTGGATCGACGCCGGGCCGCGCCGACCGCGTGGCCATGGCCGCTGTGACGCCGCCGGCGGGCCCGGCCGCCCCCGGCCTGGCCGAGCTGCATGCGCTGCTGCAGCAGCAGGCTGGCGAGATCAAGCGCATCCACGGCATGCAGCGGCGCCAGGAGCTCGAGTCCGAATACATCCGCGGTAAGCGATGGTCCGGCCCGAGAGGGGACGCTGCGGACACACCTGCTGTCATTAGCGGCGCCAGGAGCTCGAGTCCGAGTACATCCGCGGTAAGCGTTGGTCCGGCCCGAGATGGGACGCTGCGGACACACCTGCTATCATTAGCGGCGCCAGAGGCTCGAGTCCAAATACATCCGCGGTAAGCGATGGTTCGGCCCGAGAGGGGACGCTGCGGACACACCTGCTGTCGCCAGCGCTTACACTCTTTCGTGCGGACCTGCCATGCAGCAGCGTCTGCGGGCGTTAACATGCCTCCAACACAGAGCATCAGCTCATGAGTGGCCCTGGGCCGCCCGAGAATATACCGCGCCGCCTGCCGTGATGTGGACTGAGGCTTCAGCGAGTGATGTTTGACACGTCGTCACCCTCCCTGCAGGTGAGCTGAGCAGGCTGCGCCGTGACCTGCGCAAAATGCCACCTGCCACCGAGACGGAGCGGAACAGACAGCGGTGAGCGCACTCCAGACTCTGGGAGCGTCTCTTTGTCCACTGGTGTCTCCATTGCCCCCTTTGCCCGGTCGTTGGGCCGCCAGCGCTGCGTGAGCATGACCTCGGTCGGCCGACGCGAGGTCGTCGCACCTTGATCGTTACAGGGCGCAAGCGGAAAATCGTGCAAGGTGTGCTGGCTGATGAGAAAAACAGTCTGCAGATGCGCACCCCATAGGACACCTGGCATGCTTGGTACATCGTCCGGATGTGTGCGCATCGCAGTCACGTCTCTCTTCCCGGAGATGCTGGCACCTGGCACCACCTATGTGGCTTGAGGCTTTTGTCTGTCCACATGTGAACACTGTTGTTAGGCTATAACAACTCAGTTGCGACTGGATACGCGTTCAGCATTGTCCAGATGCGGGTGTTAGCGGGGATTCCCTGATGCCTTCTTCTAGGTTTTCAACGTTACCTCATCTGGTAGACCCCCTGGCTGTCGTCCTGCGATCAGTTGCGAAAATGTGACATTGCCATGGACAGTGCTGTGGGTCAGACGTGAGACCAACGGCACGTGCGAGGATTTTCCTTTACCGTGACCAACACCGTCCTCTTTGTTCGTGTGTGTTGTATCGGCCTGCGTGCTGACTCCGTTTCTCACATCGCACCTGGGACGCCCAGTGAGCCTGGTACGGTAGCCAGGGATGACTTGGTCTGGCGGCTAACCCAGCTAGAGCGGCGCGTCATCGGCTTAGAGGATGCCCGTAGGAGGGAGACGGTGAGGCACCAGCACGTGATCCCATCTGACTGGCGCGGGGGCACGCGGCGGGACAGTTTGCTGCGTGTGCTAGCAGAAAGTCTTGGGACGGTCTTGTGTTTCAACTGTTGTAGTCTTGCCTGATTTACCCACTTTTACACTCCCAGTGCCTCGGCATTGTCCGGGACTTATTGGCGCACTTGGCTGGCACTCGGCTGATGCTATCACGGTGGCCTGACCGTCGTGCGCCCGGGTTCGGCTCGGACCGTGGTTTGGTCGTCTTGTGTCCGTGCCCTGCTCGAACCGTGCCCTGACGGAGGTCTGCGCGCGCGCTGCTCCGACGGACACGGCGCCACGTCCGCTCCGACTGAGGTCTGACTGACCTGTGTGCGGTGCAGACTCCGGGCAGGCCGCTGGTGTTCGGCACGTCGCCTCTGGCGTGCGTGGACGACCACTTTCCGGCTGAAGTGACTCAGCGCACCCCGCCGGCGCCCACCGCCGTCACAGAGCGTGAGTGGTGCGCCATGAAGCCGGCGAGGCGTCAGCGGGGCAGGGGGGCTGTGGTACCTCGCGCCCCTCCTGTCTCCCTTCGCTGTTTACCATAGCGTGTTAAGCTGGTGGTTTCGTCCGTTCCCGTGACTCTGCCATTGCTATTGTCATCACGAACGTTTTGGACCGTGAGTTAGATGCTTTTCGTGTTTGTGTCGCAGCCGTCCTGTCGTTACACCTGTTTATGAACGCATTACTTCGAGAACCACACTGCGTTGCGGAGCTGGCTGACGTCTGGGCTAGTTGAACCGATGTCTCGACGCCCGACTCACACAGCTGCGTGTTACCTGTGTTTGCACGTGGTTGCAGCCCTGGGTTTCAACCTGGACGACCTGGCGCTGAGTGACAGCGACGACCACTGAAAGGGGGTCGACTGCTGGGCTCCACCGGCCCGAGAACCTACCGCGGCACGGACGGTGGCGCTGTCTCAAGACTCGGTCGGTCGTGACGCCGGGCGGTGAGCGGCGTTGTGACCGCGGACAGCCAGCCCTCGAGCTCCTGTCGGCTCACGGGGCACGGCTGGCGAGCGACGAGGATCGCTCCAGCGCGGGCCGAGTGGATCTCTGATGGTACCGTCAGTCCGGGGTCTGAGCGGCGCCGCGGGGACCGCCCCAGCGCGGGCCGAATGGGTCTCTAACGGTCTGAGCGGGTCTCTGATGGTCCGAGTGGGTCTCTGACGGTCCGGGTGGGTCTCTGATGATCTGAGTGAGTTTCTGACGGTCCGAGTGGGTCTCTGACGGTCTGGGTAGGTCTCTGATGATCTGAGTGAGTCTCTGACAATCTGAATGGGTCTCTTACGGTCCGGGTGGGTCTCTGATGATCTGAGTGAGTCTCTGATGATCTGAGTGAGTCTCTGACGGTCCGGGTGGGTCTCTGATGATCTGAGTGAGTCTCTGACGGTCCAAGTGGGTCTCTGACGGTACCGCCAGCCTGCGGTCTCGGAGGCGCGGCGGGGACCGCTCCAGACTGAGTGGGTCTCTGCCGGTACCGCCAGCCTGCGGTCTCGGAGACGCGGCGGGGACAGCCCCAGACTGAATGGGTCTCTGACGGTACCGCCAGCCTGCGGTCTCGGAGGCGCGGCGGGGACCTCTCCAGACTGAGTGGGTCTCTGACGGTACCGTCAATCTGCGGCCCCGGCGGCGCGGGCGGGCGGGGGACGGGAGGGAGGTCGTTGCGTGTTCTGGGGCGGACTGGGCTGGGTAGCACTGCGGCGTGCGGGATCAGAACAGGACCGAGCTCACCGGCGGCAGGACGCTGGCCTCCCGTCATAGATATACGGGTACCCGTTGTGAAGGTCACGATCGACGGTCAGCGGTGATGGAACAGGGAAAAGGCAGTGAGCAGCTGGGGCGCGGGGTGTGCCCGTGTTGTAACCGTGTTGTAACCGTTTTGTAACCGCGGGAGTCACGAGGGAGTGAAGGCACTGTCAAAATTTGACGGAAAACTGAGGCATTGAAGAGGCCAGTGTGCAAACTCACAGCTACTCTTGTAGGTCCTTGACGCTATGGTAAGTGTTAGTTGTGACCTGGGAGACCTGATTTGAAGGTCAGGAGACATGAGGAGTATGTTTCAAGGTCATTTTGACCTATCTCACTGCCTTACAAGTGAATCGATTGCTAAGTATGCCGAGTATACTCTTCGTCCGTGCAGGCTATAACGTTTATGGTTAGCTACCGCAATGACTCGCTTTGTACAGTACCGTGATGGCAATGTTACAGATAAGGAGTTCTGGGTAACTTTCAGTGTCGCATACGAGACACGATGCTGAGCTTGCGTTGAATGCGTGATGTCTGTAACTAGTGTGTTTTTATTAGTAATCTTGTATTTTGGTAGGTTTTGTATCGCGTAGAGCAGCTGTCTTGCTCTACCGTGACTGCAAGTGTTATCCATGTTTGGCGGCGTATATCCGGCTATTTTTTGCTTTGTCAGTTGCATCTCCAGTTGTCAGTTTCTTATGTGTAATTTCCAAAAATGTTGCCGGCTTTCCCTGTACAGACATGGAATTCATGAAACATTGTGGTCCACTTCTAACAGTGTTGAGACATTCGAAAATATGGTGTGCAATTGGCTGTTGCCCCCACCGAATGTTTTGTTCAATATGCTTTCATGGAACTTAGTCTTGGAAGGAAATGTACCGCCATGGTACATACAGACCTTTGCCATATTGCGTTTTAAGGAATATCGACTTGGCAAGGCGTGGTCGCTGTGTATACATATATGCTGGACTGAGCTCTGGCTTGTAGCGGTATTTCTCCTAGATCATCCATCTGCCGTGAAGCGACATGGGAGCTTCGACGCAAAAAGCCACGCCATGGCTCGTGGGTTGCTGATGAAATGAGTAACGGCTTTCATCAAATCGCTACAGTAGGCGTGGCAGGACCACTTAACGAATGGCCAGGAGCCGGCCGTGACTTCCGACTTGCCGCCTGGCCTTCAACGGAGTAGCTATGGACTTAGTAGACACTAGTTTTAAGCGTCAGTGAATGGTTAACTCTCGTATGCTCTGATTGTTTTAAGGGGCAGTGGAGGTTAACTTTTGTATGCTCTGTAAGATTGCAGTGCTGACTGCACGTTGGTCGTCTGCTGTCACTAGAGCGTTACGCAACTCATTGGAATTCGCCTGGCTCACAGTAAGCATAAGCGCAGCGGTTTGAATGGACTCATACCCAAATGCGCTCAGCTGTGGGAACCTTGCCTCAAACCATGAAAGGAAGCCTGCCTTGAACGTCGGAAGCAGGACACCAAAGCCCACCTGGGTTTCTTCGCCGGGCGCCTTTGCCGCTGTGGTTTGGGGGCAGGACTGCGGTGGGAGGCTGTCTGCTGGTACTCTGATTCTACTTACTGATTGGTGGTTTGCTGTCCACCTTATCCTTTCGCTCATCTGCAGCTTTTATCTATGTTTGTCCATTGCGGGGCGTCTGAGTGGGTGTGAAGGAAGTGCCTGTTTTTTTTTAATACCACGAGTGTGTGATCAATTGATGAGGGCACGAGCAGTTGTGCAATCACAATGGCGGCGTTTTGTGTGAAGTCATTCGACGTTACGTAAGTGGATGCGACGAAAAAGCTCGTGGAACTGCCGGCGCGGCATGTTTTCAAACTTCCTTGCTGAATATATACTGCATAGGATGTGCCTGCTGTTTGCTCGGGACACCAGTTAGTCATGTTCCCCTGTGGGCTGACTTGAAATCAGACATGGACAAAATCAGTCGACCAGAAATCAGGAAGAAAAAATTGATTTCCAACAAGCGATGCTTCGAGGCTATCTGATAGGATAACTGAACGTACGATCTACAGTTTGCTCAGATGCATTCAATTTGGGAAGGTGGAGGAGAACGTGCCATTTTGGACATGGGTAGTCAAGAGATGGCAGCAATGATGCGGGTTTTCTGCATAAAGCGTGCAGCTGTGTCCGCTTCACCGGGTAGACGCTTGCGTGGGTCGGGCCTCTCATCGGGCACGGATGGGTAAGAAACCGGCACCCAGTGTATTTTTGTTACGCCGAAGGAGGGGGAAACTTATTGAAAATTGCACGAACTGTGTGGTGGGTGCTGCAGCATTGTTCGCGTGCCTGATAAACGTTCTCAGGAACAGTAGTTGCGGTTGATGTCAGTTACAAGCTTGCACCTGCTGACTGCTCCCGCTTCACGTCAGGCTTTTGCAGTGTGAATAGACCGGTTGGGGTGCGTGACCCTGAACCTCCACCCGGGACATGTCTCCGCAAACAGCACCTGACGTGCAGTTTGGCGACAGTGTGGTATTTTTCAACAACAGCAGTTTGACGTTTATTGAGTAAGGCACGCGACCACACGCAATGACTTTTCACAGCTACTTGACCCCGAATACGTTGATCCGCGCTCCCATGGTTCCGAGTGCACGTTTTCACAGCTGACAGATTCAGAAGCATGGACTCTGTCCTACGGACTTCGCAGGCACCACTCTCCCATCGCCAGTGCAGGGAACGGTTCAGTCTGGATTGATGTGCGACTGGATTCGGGCGCTCCCTCGTCCCTGATGAGCACAAACGCGTGCCGCGGCTGAAGTACCCGACATGTTCAAAGGCTTCGGGCTTTTCAGTCCAGTTTTCGCCCTTGGCCTAGAACCACAAGAACCGCTAACGCAGCACCGCGCCATGATTCACCGCACAGCACGACACCGCCGCTGATCGGAGCGCGGCCGTGGCCTCGTCTCAGAGACGTCGTGTCTACCACCAGCCGACCGCCGAGGCCGCCTGGTCCCGGACACCCGGACTGAGACCGCCGCGTTGTCTCACCATGCCCCCGCCAGGCATGACACCATGGGTGCTACTTCCTGGCCCTGGCGGCGGCCGTCAGGCAGGCCACGTACTGGTTCTTGAACACAACCGGCGCCTCGTGCTCGCTGAGGAAGTTCTGCTGCGGGCGCGTGCTGCGGTATGGGTTCTTCATCGGCGGCAGCAGTACGTCCACCTTCTGCTCCAGCTGGATGCGTGCCACGTCCTGCGGACACTCGAGCAGCGTGTAGCCGGTCAGCACGAGCGGCACGCCGTCGGGCACGAGGTAGGGCAGTGTCTCGCGCCACGTGTCGCGCCGCTCGTGGCCGGCGAAGCGGTGCAGACCAGCGTTAAAGGCGCAGATGGCGTGCGGCGGCCGGAACTGCGGGCTGCGGCAGTACGTGTGGTAGGATGTGCTCGGCTGAAACTCGCACGTGAAGCGCTTGCCGGCGGCGCGGCACGGCGCGCACGTGAAGTCCTGCTCAGTGACGCCCGGTCGGCTGCCGGGTACCTCCAGCTCGGGCCCCACGAACACCACGTGCAGCCGGCGCAGCCGCGGCAGCACGTTCAGCAGGAAGACGTCCCAGCGCGCGATCGGGTCGCAGTCGGTGGCGAACTCGGCGCCGACCACGTGCACGGTCAGCTCGGTCAGCTGGCTGATGTGGCCCTCGGGCGTGGTGGGGATGTTCTGCAGCGCGTACAGCAGCGACAGCGGGTACGAGGCGCAGTCGGAGAGAACGGCCAGCTCGACGGCGCCCATGCTGAAGGCGCGCTGCGGCCCCAGCAGGCCGACCACGAGGAACTCGCGGATGTGCGGTGGCAGCGGCTCGTACGTCGTCAGCACGGTGTCGGGCAGGGACGGGTCGCACACGCCGTGCATGTTCTGATGACTATGGATGTCGAGCAGCATGCGCAGGTCCTTGCAGAACTTGCCGTGGTTCTTACGCAGGTGAGTTTCGTTGCAGAAGCTGACAGAGTGGCAGCTGGTGCAAGTGTGCAGCTTGTCCGGGTTCGTCTCGTGGCACGTGTCGCAGGCGCGTGGGTACAGGAACATCTCCTTTTCGTAGGCCTCCATTGGGCGGTCAAGCATCTCCTCGCACACGGCCATGTGCTTGAAGCGAATCTTCTTCCACTGCTCGGGGCTGGCCACATTCAGCGCCTCCCGGTACAGGTGGTCGGTACCGAGGTGTCGCATGCGCTTAGTGATGACCTTGCAGAGGGCACGGTGCAGCGGCCAGTGCGCGCGTTGGTGCTCGGCCGAGCAGTAGGCCACCAGCCGGCAGTTGCCGCACGACTTGAGCCGGTGCTGCTTGGTGTGCAGCCGCTTGCAGACGTGACAGGCGTGCGCCTGGAAGACGGGCCGAGCTGGCTGCATGTCGGCGCCCTGCTGCATTAGCGAGGCGTACGTGCGTCCCTCGTCACTGGGCAAGAAGAGCGTGCGGTCGGCCAGCACGGGCCGGGAGCTCCCGACCGGCCGCGGCCGCGTACCCGACTCCGACGATGGGCCGGGGCTCACGGCCGCCGACGACTCTGGCTGAACTGGGGCCGGATTGTTGGCCGCCTGTCGGCTGGTGGTTTGGATGATCTCACTGGAGTCGACGACACCATTTTTAGCTTCAGATTGGATGACGGTTGTATGGGAGGTGTTGGACGACTGCGTGCCGTCAGATCCGTCGGTAGATGGCGTCCTGGCGAATGTGGTAACGTCTTGCCGTGACTTTTTTGGAGCTGCTGCAGTTCCCGTAGGGTCATTATTCGTGGTATCTCCTTCAGCTTGAAGCGATGTAACTTCCTCTGCGGATGTCCGCCTCTCACGCCAAGCTGCATCATTCCTGTTTCCTCCGGTTCGTGGCTTCTTCCTCCTGTTTAACCTTTTAATGGCGACGGGGGAGCGAGGTGCGTTCTGACTAGTAAACTTTAGGGCGTCCTCGTCGGAGTCTTTCGGCGATGCTGTGCCATCCTCGTTTAGACCTAGTTTACCATTTATCTCATTTCCTTTGGGGTCATCTGCTCCTAAGCTTGTCACTGGCTGGTTGTTGTCCCTCGCACCTTCTTCTTTCTCTTGACTACGTCGTTCGTCATTGTTTGCGTGCATCGGCGATGACTCACACACATTGTGGACGTGACGCTCTTCCGTTTTGTCGGAGGTGGTGGGAGTGCTCCTGGCGCCGCCTTGGATTGGGGTTGATGCCAACACCGGCGCTAGGTCACGGGCTGCCTGAGCTGGTGTTGTCAGCCCGGCAGTTACGGACGTAGCGGCTTTTTCGGAAGCCTCCTTCGACGCCAGTGTTTCTGCCGTCCGGACTGGCTCTGGTTCTCGTGCAGCCTGAGCTGAATTTACATCTACACCCAGAGACACGGGAGGTATTTCTGTGGACATAGGGGACTTTGGTATGTCTGCAGCCGGTATCAGTGTCGGATTCAGAGTCTGTGACAGCGCTTCTGCTTCCGCGGGGAGAGACACGGGAGGTATTTCTGTGCGAATACCTGGTGTCGGAATCTCCGAGACCAACGCAACTTTCGTCACACCCTTGTCCAGCTCCGGAAAGATTATGTCTGTCTTCAGCTCTGTCGCCGGCACCTCCGCCGTCAGGATCAGCTCCTGAAACCCTGCAGCTGGCTTTTGCAGCCCGTCGCTCGGTACCAGCGACGCCAGCTCGCCATGCGCCGCCGGCCGCTGCTCGCGGCCAGGCGGGCTGTCGTAGGAGAAAGGGTGCTCGCCGCCCTCGTCACCCTCGTCCAGGGTGTCGGCCGTCCCCGGCTCGCTCAGGTCCAGGTCGGGCTCGGTGCGCAGGCTGTCGAGCTGTTCGCCCGGCGCCAACCCCTCGCTGAGCGGTGAGGCGGTGAAGCCGGGCAGCGCCGCCATGGTGACGTCACTCTGCCTGCCCGCCAGCACCACGTCCTCGAAGTAGACGTCGTCCAGCTCCGCCGGCGGCGACAGGGGCGAGGTGGCCGAGTTGAACGTGCTGCGCCGTGATCGCGTGCCGTCCGACGGCGGCGACGGTGACGCGCGCGGCGGCCCACTTGCGTTCACGCTGAGCTCCGAGGGGACGACGGTCAGCGGCTCGGCAACGGCTGTCGGGTCGGCAGACAGGCGAGCTGAACAGAGTGTGTGGTCCACGGCTGTGGCGCTGTCTGGTGGTCTGTGAGACACTTCAGCCGGCGTCTCCGCGTTCTTTGTCGCATGGGTGTCCTTGTATAACTTGCTCTCGATCCAGACTTCCTGAGAGACGTCTTCCTCACAGAGAACGACCTCGTCGCCGCTTGCTTCCTCGTCCTCTGCGCTGAAATGTTCACAACAGCCTTCGTACAATGGAAAACTTTTGTTGCTGCCGTGGCTACTGCTGCGCGCCAAACTCTCGTCGTGTTTTGGCGCGGCGGGGTCGTGTTCGGGTTTGTCGGACCCCGCGTGTTCGTTTGACGTGTTCGATGGGATCAAAGACTCGTCGCTGGTAGCCGTGCAATCGGAACCAGTTCGCCGTGATAGCGCCTCGTAATGTCGTGCTTCAGCCGCGTCGTATACAGCCTTTTCGAACCACCAGTGACCCTGTATGTCCAGCGCTTCTGCTAAGGAGCGATCTGGTTTTGATGCCACGTTTTCCTCTGTTTTCACCTTTTCTCCTGGCTCGTGCTCGTGCTTCTCACTCGCTTGATCTGCGCTCGCTTCGCTTGTATCTGGTGAATCTTGCTGATCTTCGCCTGCTAGTTCTTTGCTGATACGAGATTCGTCTTTCTGGACACGCCTTGTTTCCTTCTTTGCCTTAGGTCTTGTGCCTTTGTTTTTCTCCTTTCGACCTGACTTACTAACGTCCAGCGTTGGTCGTGCAGGATCTCCCGCCTGCCCAGTAGGTTGCTCTTGAGACAGATGAGGCCCTTCTATCGGCACCGGAGTTGTATCTGGCGGAGCCTTGTCACCAAGTTTGCCGTTTTTGGCAGTAGCGTCTGCATCTGCTGTCTCTTCTGGAGCTTTTGAGGCTTTATTAGTCGGCTGTCCTTCGGCCTTGAGGTATCTGCATTCGCTGTCCAGATCGACGTCCAGAGCTGGCACCACATTCAAGATACCGTCTTTAGGGTCCGTCGCCTCCACAATTCCCTCGGCCGTGGCTGTGGTTTCCGCCGCTTTCTTTTCCTGGTCTTCGGATTCAAAGGCATTTTTGAACCCTTCCTCCAGATCGTCTCCAGCTGACAACAGCAGATCGAAAGCGTCTGGTACGGCTTTTGGATCTTCCAGTTGCTCACTTAGTGGCTTCTCATTGGCGAAAGCATCCGCTGTGGCACATGCCACTTTTGGAACTTGATCGACGTCCAGAGTTGGCACCACATTCAAGATACCGTCTTTAGGGTCCGTCGCCTCCACAATTTTCTCGGCTGTGGCTGTGGTCTCCGCCGCTTTCTTTTCCTGGTCTTCGGATTCAAAGGCATTTTTGAACCCTTCCTCCAGATCGTCTCCAGCTGACAACAGCAGATCGAAAGCGTCTGGTACGGCTTTTGGATCTTCCAGTTGCCCCGTTAGTGGCGTTTCATTGGCGAAAGCATCCGTTGTGGCACATGCCACTTTTGAGACTTGGATTGACGCGTCACCGGACTCGAATGCATCTTTGAATCCCTCCTCCAAGTCATCACCGGCTGACATTAGGAGATCAAAAACATCCTCTGTTTTCTCATCGTGCACCTCAATTGGCGGCGCTGTGGAATCCTTGGAATCGGACGTGGCATCCACTACTTTTGTTTCCTTGATTGACGCCTTCTCGGATTCAAAAGCATCAGTGAATCCCTCGTTCAGGTCCTTTCCAACAGACGTCGGGAGATCAATGATATCTGGTTCTGTTACAGCCATTTCCTCTGTTGGAAACACGTCAGAACCAATAAGTTCGGCTACGTTGTCTGCTGTTTTCGGCTCCTTGTTTAATGTGTTTTCGGACTCAAAAGCCTCTTTGAATCCCTCCTCCAAGTCATCTCCACCTGACGTCAAGAGGTCAAAGACGTCTAGCGTGGCTTCTTCCATCCTTGGCTTTTTGGTGGATTCCTGTTTTGATTCCAATTTTTGATCTGCCTCCGTCTCCCTTATGTGCACTTCCTCGATTGGTGGATCTTTGGATTGGAAAGCATCCTCGAACTCCTGTCCCGAATCATTCCCAGCTGACGGCGGTGTACCGTTTGGTGCGGTATCCATCTTACCCATTTCGTGGATCAACTGTCCTTTGGTTTCTACTGTTGTGGCATCTGTGCTTCTCCAGTCTGGAACTGGCGAGTCGTCCGATTCAAAAGCGTCCTTGAAACCCTCCCCCAGGGCGTCGTCAGCTGACATAAGCAGATCAAATGCATCTGGTGCGGCTTCTGCCTTCTCCTTGATGGCTCGCCTATCGTATTCATCACCGGCTTGTGCGATTTCTTCCTTTTCAGAAGCAGGAGCAAGGCCCTCGGTCCGATTATCTCCTTGTATCGTTAGACAATCGAAGTCATGCGCTGTGTTCTCGTTCTTTCCCGTGTTTTGTTCTGAAAAGACCTTTTCTGCTTCGGAAGCTTCAGTCATCGTGCTCTGAATGACAGGCTCGGTTGCTGCTGGCTCCTCGAACGTAAACGATTCCTCAAAACCCTGGTTTAGATCATCTCCAGATGACAGCAATAGGTCGAAGACATCTCTTGCAGGTTCCAGCGCCTCACCACAAATGCCTGCTGGTTTTGTTTCAGGTTCCACTCGAGTGATCGCACTTTCGGCCGCTGTCGATGATTCTTGTTTTCTTTTGTTTTTGGCCTCGAGAGCCCCCTTGAACTGCTCCCTTAGGTTGCTCACCGACGACATCAGTTGTTCAAGCGCATCCTTTGCTGTTCCGGCGGTCACATTTGGTTCCTGGACTCCCTTTTCTGAAGGCACAGTGCCCTCTAAGACGGCCCCCGTCGCGGCGTGCACAGAAGTCATTGGCGTGCACAAGTGCTCATTGGCATGCCCTGACATTTCTTCTTCCATTCCTTGCGGCTTTCCGTTGGGCGTACCATTTGGAGGAAACTGTGCATTTAGCGACCCATCGACGTTTGACAGGGGTACTGTCGTTAAACTGGGTTGCGTCGTTGCGTCTTCTGTCTTCACTTCTGTCTGAAGCCCGTCGTCACATGGGGCATCAAGCGTCTGTTCTTGTCCTTGAGTGACCGTTTCCGGCTCACCTTTCCGTTCGCTGCGCTTTCTCCTTCGCTTTCCCTTCTTCGTCTCTACAGTTGTCCACTGGTCGCCCGTAACTTCCAGCGCATTGGGCTCCGGAGAAGCACAGTCTGTACTCAGACCATTTGAGTGGATCCCTGCAGGGCTGGGCGTTGATGTGATACCGTTACTTGGGCTACATTGGTCGGTTACTGCCTGACTCCGACCTGTAGTGCAAGGTTCCAAAGATACTGCCGCAACATCGGTCACTAGTGGTGCACCCATTTCGCCCCCCTGTGTCGGGGTGACAGGAATGTCGGGCTCTTCTTCAGACGTCTTCCGCCTGCCTTTATGGCGTTTGTGTCTCTTTTCTCCCTTCACCTTCTCTCCATGCTTTTGATCCTTAGCGAGTTCGTTTTGCGGAATCGTTTTATCTTGAACAGGAGGATCTTGCTGGCTAGCGGAATGCTTTGCCTTCTTGCTCTTCTTCTTTGAGGTATGGCCACGTACGTCAGTACTCTGCATTTCAGCGTCTTCAGTTGCCGGCGTAGCAGTAACCACCTGCTCAGTCTGTACCGGTGCTTCAGATGGCTTTTCATTTCGTACCGGACCTTCAGCGGGCTGCTCATCTGATGACGGGACTTTAACAGACTGCTCATCTGGTGACAGGACTTTAACAGACTGCTCATCTGATGACGAGACTTTAACAGACTGCTCATCTGATGACGGGACTTTAACAGACTGCTCATCTGATGACATGACTTTAACAAGCTGCTCGCATGGTATCAGGGCTTCAAATGATTGCTTACTCGGTGTCGGAGTCTCAGGGGGTTGTTCGTCTGGTGTTGTGGTTTCACCGGGCTGCTCACTCGGTGTAAACGCTTCAGGTGGTGCCGAGGCTTCAGTAGGCGGTTCATTCGGTGCCGAGGCTCCACAGGGCTGTTCATGTTGTACCGGGACTTCGACGGCCTGTTCACTTGGTATGAGAGTTTCAACCAGCTGCTCACTTATTACCGGGACTCCGGTAGGCTGCTCACTTGGTGTCAGGATTTCGGTCGGCCGCACACTTGGTACGGGGGCCTCAGGAAGTTGTCCACTTGGTAGCAAATCTTCGAGAGGTTTTTCAATAAACACCGGCGCTTCAGCAGGCAGCTCGTCTGGGCCTACGGCTTTAGCTGGGGGCTCACTTGGTGCCGGGACTTTAACAAGCTGGTCACTCGATGTTAGCACCTCAACAGGCTTCTCACTTGGTACCGCTGCTTCAAGCGGGGTCCACTCACTTTTTACCGGCACTTCAAGCGGCTGCTTACTTGGCGATGGGGTTTCGGCAGGCTGCTGACTCTGCACGGTGGGTTCATCAGGTTGCGTGTTCCGCACAGGGGTGTCAGTGGACTGACCATTTGGTATCAAGGTTGCGGCAGACTTTGCACCCTTCATGAGGTCTTCAGCAGTCTGCTCCCTCGATTCTGGAACCTTGGCATCTGGCAACAGGGTTTCGCTCGCGTACTCATTTGGTGAGAGAGGTTCAGCGGGCTCCTCACCTTGCGCCGGAGCTGCGAAGATCTGCCCACTTGACACCGGAGCTTCAGTGGGCTGTTCACTCAGCTCTATGGGCTCATGTGGCTGTTCACCCTGGCTTAGCGCTGGTACTTTATCCAGCAGCTGGCTGGGTGCCGGAATTTCATGACTTAGCTGTGTGGGTGATAGGGTTTCCGGAGTCGGCGTCCCAGGCGCCGGTATTTTATCAAGTGACAGGTTAGCTGCTGGGATTTCATCCGTCGGATGACTTGCTGCTGGGACTTCATCCGTCGGATGACTGGTTGTTGACGTTTTGTCAACTGGCTGGCAGAGTGCCAAAACCTCATCTCTCGCCTGGCTGGGTGCTGTGACTTCGGCCGGCTGGCTGGAGGCCGGGATTTCATCAGCGGACTTGCTCGAAAGTGCTGTCTCATTCAATTTGCTTGGGACCCGTGGCTGGCCCCCCAGGCCGTAGTGCCGCTCGCAGGCCAGCCTGAGCCGCCGTTCTCGGCCCGACTCGACCGACGACCAGATGTTCTCGGCCAGGGCCGCCATCGTCTTCCGCTCGTTCTTAGCATTGTTCCGACGCACTGTCTGCGGCAGTGTGTCGGTGATGCCGCGCTGGCGCCGACCCATCGTTGCCTGCCGACGAGTGGAGAAAGGGGGTCAGAATCCTGCCGACCCCAGTCTCTCCAATAACATACGGGCCCACCTACCACTGCAGCCTGCGGACATCGGAGGACATAGTTGGACGCTTGCTGACTTGTTGCCCTGGCAACGCATAGTCAAACCCAGTAAACATCACAGCCTGCGGCCGCAGAGGAGAGCGGTATGAGTGGTCCCACTGGTGCCAGCCGGTGCAAACACAGACAAGGCTGCTGACCGTCACTGCATGCGCGGACCGTGTCCCCTGATTATCTCCGCCTGTTCACGCACGGACAAGGAAGGGAGGATTTTCCTGCCAGGTGACACAGTCTTGCCAGATAATAATACGATAGTAACACATAACCAGGCGCAGAATGATTACTGTCTGAAGGTACGGACGAGTAGATCACAGTTCGACCGACTCGGGTCATGCTTGTTATATGAAGGGTCTATAAAGCTCCTCTTTGTATACATACACAAATAATCCAGTCTTCTTGATCCAACACACCAGGCTCCCCAAAGAAAATTATCACATACACTGCCACGATATACCCACATACAACAGTGAAACCAAACATGCGCGACCTTCTCGACAACTATGTCGACAGCTGAAAGGGCATAGTAGGTTAAGGCTGGTGACCGAATTGGGCTCTTCGGTGGCCGTCTTACAAAGTATAGGTTGACCAACGCCTTAAAAGGTGTTGAAAGTCTATATCACCAAGATAGGTCCTGCATCTTAGTGTTCTCGGGCAATGAGTTTAGAGTTCTCGTGTTGAAAATAACTTACTTCAGTATACTAAGATGAAATGATCAACAGCGTCATAAACAACTTGGCTATGATAGGAAACTTGACGTTTCAAAGCTGTCTTCTTGGTTGGATTTTTTCGCAGAAGTCAATCAACACCACCCAGTATTTCTGTCACTCTGAAACACAGGGCACAAAATGCGTTCATTCCATTCCTCAACACCCTTTTTGTGGTACAACCAGAGTGGCCAGAGCGGCTAAAGCACAAGCAGAATGTAAGATATACCTACCAACTACGCTGTAAAAGGTCCCGTCCCGCACTATAAGTTGGTACGTCCCAAAAGCGCGGCTGGTTAGAGCGCCTGCCTTCCGATTCACACACCTGTGGCGAGATGGATGCGAGACGCTTCAGGCGCCCGCCCTTCGTCTCCGACTGACGTCGCCTGTGGCCGGTGGCAGTCGTCACGCAACGGTCACTTAACGTCAGAGGGTAGAATGGACCGTGCCAAAGCATTACGGTAGATCAAGCTTTCACCGCAGAGTTCTACCGTTCACCCGGATTTCTACCATCGAGTCAGGTCTCACTTAACGAGCACTGTTTTGCATGGACGCTCATCCCAGAAATGCATTCCATCAAAAGGCTCGGACTACATCTTTAAAAAAACTTAGGCCGTTCCCATCATACTTCACTACAATGTCAAACCCATCATGGCTTCTAAGAAAGCAGATGAATTACAAATAGGTTGTGTATCTTCGAACGTAGACGTGTATTGTACTGAATTTCATTTTCCATGAGGACGGATGCAAGGCGCCATGAGTGAAGCCTCCCGATTGTGCCGCAAGCTCCCGGTTTAACAAAACATTAGATTCGCAAAGAAGTCGCAGGAGTAATAAGACGACATAGACAGTCGTTGAATAAACAGACTGTGTGGATGAAGTTACCGTTTATTCAAGGTGGCAAGGATAAGTTAGCCCACGCGTTACTCAACCGTGTCTAGTGTATTTTTCTGCAAATAAAGACCACGGTGGCATTTGGATGCTATTCAACCGCAAAATGGGATAAAAAACTATCGATCGATCATCCAATCGTGCTCAATTAAAAGCAATCAATAACCATCTTCACAAGGGGCTCACAAGAGCTCACAAGTATGAGATCATGTGCAGGGCTTTTACTTTATTTTTTTTCTGGTGATCTGTGCTCTAGCACATTGCGTGCGACGGCAGCGGGGGACGTGCCAACTCCCACCTACCTGCGAAGGCGAAGAAGCTGGCCATGATAAACTTTACTGTGTCTTCTGATACATTGTTCTGGGATTAAGCCTGTGGAAAATTTTGAGATATTCTCAACATTCTCTTCTTTATTTTTTATACAGGAGCTTTCGCCTAACACTGCAATAATGCTGGGAAGTGTTGTCCCTAGCGTGAGCGCGACGGCTGAGCACTAAGTCCCAAAGGACCAATACTTATGTTGTTCGGGGCTTGGAGTTGGAGTATTCTGTTGGACTTGGGGTTGACAAGCTGCCCTTGGAACCAGAAAATGCTGGTGGTTGTAGAAATCAGCGAATAAAATATGCTGTAGCACCTCCAACCTCATTAAAATTTGGGACCTTGTTGATAAGTTGCGCTGCATGTGTACTGCTATTTTACTGCTGTTTTACTGCTTTCCCCTGCTTACTTTTCATAAGCAGTACAAACATCGATGATGTGAATACAGGGTGATATACCGCGTTCTTAAGAACAGCAGCGGTTGAAACAGGCACAGATGCGTCTTCCCTTGTACACACTCGCTTCTGAACAGCGATGACTTCTGGTGAGCGACCTTTATGATCCTTCGGAACGGTGGCCGGGGCACAGGCATTTTCACTGTCAGCCCGGTAAAACCTATATTATCAAATCATGCAAGGGGAAACTAAGGCCATGTGCAGCCTAAATGCATGGCGCTCAGACAAATGTCAGCTGGTGGCCGCGCTAACCTTGCCAGGTGGTGCACGATGTTCCGGTAGAAGTATTGACCGTAGGTGGCCCCAGTCTGGACCAGCCGCTGCGCCCCGGTCCCTTCTTTTACCGAAACGATGTGCCAAGAGCCTTCTTAGTAGTGCCAGCTCGGTCGTTGTCACCGGCCGGCACCAATCATCGCATGCATCATGCTTTGCTTTTTTGCTTACATCCATGATGTGTTACACGCAAATGAATGGGCACGTCTTCTTCATAGCTGAATGTCATAGCACAGCACTTGGGACCGCGCTACTTTACGGCACCCACTCGGCCGCTGAGGGTGTGGCGGCTATCCGAGAGGCGAGCAGAGACGTGGAGCTTGATACGGACGTGATGTCATCGTGTGTGCCATTGATACCGTGATGTGGGGAAGATAACGCGATAACCGTGAGTGCTGCATAGGCCGCCGTTCATTGCTGGTAACTCGCATTCCCGAGACATTTATCCTCACTGAGTCATGTGTTGGCATGACCTGCAATATTTATCCCCAAGCCCAAGCTGTTAGGCCGGTATCAAGCTGCAGGTGGCCGTCCGAAGCATGACGAGCCAGGTCCCGAACCGACGGACGCCGTGCCGAGCGGGAGTGTGGCGTGGGCCGATGCCGCGCCCGGACGCGTCAGCAGCTCTGCCCGCCAGAGATTCAGACGTCTGCTGGCGCGGGTCAAGTATTCCAACGTCGCGTCCAACCGTCCCAAAAAAGGATGTGTTGATTTTAGAGTCCAGTCAACACCACGCATTGTTTTCGCGGCACATATCCAACATACGGAAACTGGGTGTGTGTTGTTTGAAATGAGGTAAGCGCGTCGTTAGAAGTAAGGTAAGGTGAGGTAAGCTTTGTTTAAAGTAAACGCCCCAGTGCGTTGTTTCAAGAGAGATAACGGCTCGGCAGCGGGCTGTCACCGACACAGGCTGGGCATGCTTGTCGAATGCCGGAACCCCTTTTGAGTGTTTTGATGTCATCTGTTGTGCTTCCATACGAAATATGGAGGCGTCCCAACAGCATGAGAGGAGCTACAAGGCCAGAGGAGCTGTAAGGCCTAAGACGAGCTTTCTTTAAAGGCAACAGTGCTACCTTGGGCAGATGCACGTTAGCTGACATAAAATGGCCATGAAATATGTCAGCAGTGCCATGAAAGTAGCCAAGTCCGCCCCACCCCATTTCACAATGGCCCGTGTTCCTTACGCGTGTCTGTATCGACTGGGTCGACTAGCAATTGGCAGTTAGGAAATCGCGCCAAAATTTCACTCCAAAATTTTTTGGGGGGCCTTTTGCATGACAGGTGTCAGGGAGGACCTTGACGGACAATAGACCAGACAATCCCCGGTCAAAGGCACAGAACGTTAAAGCGCTCACGCCTGGTCACAAAAAGCTTAAGCCCACACGGACACTTAAACGGGAAAAATGGCAGGAAAGTTCACTCTACCGTGGTAAAAAAATCCCAGGGCTTCTGAGCGGTTCTGGTGATTGAGAATCAAGCCCTATACTTTCCAACCAATAATCAAAGCACCCCGGCATAAACCAAAAGTTATGGAACTATGCTTTCTACCCGAGTGCTCGCTATTTTATTACCGTCCGCCCTGTTTCTTGGCAAGGTCCCTGGCCGGCGGGCCTCGCGCCGCGCGGCTTGGCTGTGGTTGAGCGGCGTGCAGTCCGCTACAGGTCCGCCACGGACACCTGACCGTGGCCGTGCTTGGCATTAGTTGAGCGGTGTGCAGTCCGCTGCAGGCCCGCCACGGACACCTGACCGTGGCCGTGCTTGGCTGTGGTTGAGCGGTGTGCAGTCCGCTGCAGGCCCGCCACGGACACCTGGCCGTGACCGTGCAACTGCCGGCCGTGTACCGGCTCCCAGTGACTCATGCCATGACGTCAGCGCGATCATAGACGGGTGATGTCACCTCCAGGAGATAGGAGCGGCGTGGTTGGTCCAGTCAGTCGGCCGGTCTGGGTCGGCTGGCTCGTGTGTGGTCCGTCAGCGCGCCCCGGCGTCAGCGGCAGGGCCTCCGACCCCGGGCCCCGGCTGACGGGCCTCCGACCCCGGGGCCCCGGCTGACTGGCCGCCGGCGTTGGCGCCTCAGGCCTGATGTATCAGCCCTGGCCGACCCGAGACGGAGTGCGGGGCTGTTGCTGCCCTTCTCTGCCGCCTCCAAGCGCGGCAGAGGCGGGCTCAGGCTCGCTCCGATGGACGGCTGCTTCTGGGTATCGACATGGCCACGGCACCCGCCACGCGAACCTGAGTCCGAGTCACGGAGCGATCGGCGTGGCAGGAGGGGTCGCGCCGCTGACTGGGCCGGGCTGTCTCACACAAGCACAGACCTACACAGGCCCGCCAAACCCACAACGGGCGTCTGCACGATGAGAATCTCGCATGCAGCCGGAGCGCTGGCGTGCTCCGTCCAATGACCGCACCACCTGTGCGGCACGGACCTGCCGGGCCGAGTGAGACGCGCGGAACAATACGACACGCATTGCCGGGCCTTTGGGCTATCGGTGAATGCTTCATACAATGAGCTGATGCACTGCTTTGCTATAACAAGAAATGATCCGGGCCAACCGCAAGCATATCATTGAAGAAGAAAGCATGCTAATGCTAGATTAGACGAACCGTGGAATCTTGAACCCTGTTATGTTGCTGAAATTTTTGTTATCGATGTTGTTAGCGTTACGTCGGCAGGCTTCAACATATCTTTGCCTCGTAAAACAACCGCTGCAGCGATTGGATGTGCATGAAACTTGAGCCTATGTACCGCAATACCGATGACCGCGAGATATTCTTACCTTCTCCTGGACTGAGAAAGGCCCTCGTCTGCCAAAGAAAATAACCGGTGCTTCCGTAGGGCGAATTGGAACTGTGCCAACGAGGCGGCCCGGCACCCAAGCTTTCTGTTCCGTCCCGTAAATCCGTGCCCGTTACGAAAATATATGGACGTTTGTGGCCAGCGCAAGACTCCGAGACCTGACCTTATGGCACAGGGTGTCACGTGGCGTGATTAGTCGGCAGTGGCGAACGCTGCTAGAATGGTTTGCAAACACCGGCTAGGCCAGACGGCTGAGTGTAATGTGCTGCACTGTCAGTCGACAGTGATCGTGTGTCCCACCTTTCCATGTTCGCTCGCTGAGCAAGATCTACACCTGAGTGTCAAAGCAGATCTTCAACCCGCTGGCAATCGGCGAAGTCGGCAGAAGACAGGAAAACAGCACGTTTCATCATATTCGCACTGTCATGTCCAGACATGCATCTAGACTGTATGCATGGCTGTGGGCTTGTGTTGGTATAAAACCCGGATACGCCCCTGAAGGTCACCAAACACATATGATCAAGGTTTCTTCTGGAGTGAAAACGAATATGCTGGCACTCCCTCACCTTGAACTGGTGTGCTGTCTCTTGAGGAAGCTCAAATACACACAGCTAACTTCTGGCCGACTCTCGAACGCTCTCCTCCAGACCGCCTCTTCAGCGGACGTGTGTGACGTCACAGCTGGGCGTCGCACAAGCCCCCCGGCTCGTGCGGTTGAAAATAGGCCTGCCGCCGTCAGCTGGCGCCACGCTGCGCCGCTGACCACGTGGTCAGATCAGCACCTCCCAGGCCGAGGCGTGCGGGACTTAAACAGCACGGGCACTGGCAGGTCGGGCATTCGGGCTTTGTGACCACTGACACCGGCCCACCGGGATGGCAGGCGTCGTATAAAATCAGTCGTCCTATTAAGTAGGCCTTCGCGCCCTCGCGTCCCACCGGTACCGCGTTCTCGTAACCAGTCTAGGCACCAACCGTGACCGGACCGGTCAACTCCATGACACCGACACACGCCCCTCGCCTGGGTCCCTGCCGTCGGGCGCTGCTACCCAGACCATCTGTCGAAAGCGGGCCGTGACGAGGACCGGGCGGGCTGAGTCCCACACCACCCCTCCGGCGCTGTGGCGTGCCTGCCGATCAGTTTTGACCACGCATGGCCGGCGGCCCGTTGGTCGTCGCTCACAGGCTCCGAAAGAGATGTTCGGCCGCTTACGGGTATCGTGCAGCCTCAATTAGCTATGTAGGTGTGGTCGTTTCCAGGGCGTGTATTTTTGCTGTCAGCCCATTTGTACCACGTTTTGACAGCTCATTCGTTGTGCGGGCAACGAGAAGCAATCTGTTGTTTTATGTGCGCGCCTGGCAATGTGGAAATTTCAAATTTTCCATCGTTTAACCCTATTCCCGACAGTGGACGGCGGAGCAGGCTCCCTTGGTTATCCGAAAGGGCTGGAGCAGGTCATTCAAGCTTCTAACTTTTCCGAAATACTTTTTGCTACGATCAGGCACATGACATGCGCAAGGGTCGTTCAGTCTCGTTTATCGGTGTTGGCAGGGACATCCGGTCAAATTTGGCGAGACAGTTTTTTTGGCGAGATTTGACCTTCTCTTGCTATCGACTTGAATCTACAAACCTGTTCTAAGCATAATTTTGCTGCTCAGTTTAAGTCATTGACCTTTTTTGATCTCAAAGAGGTCATGGTGACCAAAAACCTACGACATTATTTTGATTATTGAAATTCAATAAGCGATTATGTCAGGCGGCACTTTCCTAAGACAAAAGGATGCTGTGGGTAATGTTAGGCCAGTTACCTGCTCTGATCTTTAAAAAGTCCATGAAAGATGCTGTATTTGTCCCTGTTATCACGAAAATCGAAATTTAGCAGCCGAAACTACCCCATAAAGCAAACTATCTAGTGAAAACAGGCTGGTTTTGACCTTAGTTTGATCTTCATACCTGGCCCAAGATCAATTAAAATCGTTTTAGTCCTGAATTCAATTGTCCGTTTGTCTAAGAAACCACTTCAGCGATGGATGGCTTTATCTGACACTCCGTTGTAGCATCATGTTGAACGATTTCCTAGACATTGCCTTCGCTGACAGTCGCAGCCTGACTCTGACCTCTCCTCGGCCAGCAACCTTACAAGATACATCCAATGTTTTTATATGAAATATCTATCATTTAGTTGCCTACAGCTGTGCAAAGTTTGGTGCGGCTACGCTGATGGTGGATGATGGAAATTGTTCTGTAAACGTGTTTTGGGCGGGCAAATTTACCCGAGCGCGCGTTAAAGTAGTGACTGGTGCTTTCTTTGAATACGATATTTGGAATTCCGATACAGTGCAGAGTGCTGTACGGGTCGCCAATGCAGACATACAAGAGATACTGCCCGGTATCTATAAGCAAAAGCGTGCACTTCATCCAGTGCCTAGAGAAAAATGTTGATACGCACGGGGACAAAGGCGTGTTCAGGCTTTACGAAAGGGGATGGGGAGCGCGCACATGGCTTCAAACCAATGTCAGCATAGCGGTACTATGACTGGATAATATCAAAACAAGTCCGCATGTGAAGGTGGTGGAACAGAAAGGAGAAATTCGGTATGGCCCGGGAGCTGCCCTACACTGAACCTCATTGAAAATACGTGGGACACGTTACAAGCGGGCCTCAGCGAAATGGACCATGCAAGAGTGCCACGGAGCTGCAGGCGGTGTACAGAGGGAATGGGCGAGCATCTCGCCCTTCATGCTCTTCAAGCTGGACGATTGCGTACCAAATGGGACTGCCAAGGATCTGACATTCCAAGGGAGTATCTACGTAGGCATGCGAAGAAAACACGTAACGCGGGCGTGATGCGCTTTACAGATGGTGTAAAGGTGAGACAAATTTGATAACTTAGACCTAGAACCTAAATGACTGTTTTTTATGCAAGTACTCCTGAAACTGTTCACCATAATACTGTGCTCACCTTCCGGAATCTTTCAGGTCGACAATGTTCTTTTATAATTCACGCCATTTGCACCCTGTCCCATAGTGCACTTCATTGGTATGAGCGCAGTCGATGCGCTCTAAAGCCTAGATAATTAACACCGGGTCTACAAACATATCGGTCGCGAGTCAGTTAGGTGGAACACCTAGGGATACTCTTGTGTTCATTTTCTGGCTTTTGTTTTTGCTAGAGGTTTGCAATTCCCAATGTAATAATTTCGCAGCGTTTTGGCCTTTGCATGGGTCCTACGGGAGGTGAGCAGATGACAATGGTGTTTTCATTATGGCAGTGTTTTAGTACGCACTTAAACGACCGGCATCCGGACGTGTGCATCTGGATTTGGGTTGCTTGGGATTCGTTGCGTTTGAAAAGATAACGGTTTGAATAGGAATCTCCTGCTGAGTTCACAAAAAAGGAAACCTCTTTGGTAGGGCCCAATGACTTTACAGCGAGCTTAAGTGAACTAACAATAATTTGAATGAAACGTGCTATGTGCGAAATTTCATCATTTCAGATTGTCTGTCATCTTCAGATGCTGCGACCTCTGCGTTTAATTCAGTAAGGCTTGTTTGGAGGTAGCTGGGTCATCGTCCAACGATAGCCAGCTTGAGTGACGTAGCCAAAGGAAGGGGTTGCGACGTCGCCCGCTTTCATTTAAGAGGTGGGTGTGCAAAGCCCACCTTGCTCAGGAACGTAGCCAAGGGGAGCCAAGGGGTCCATGCCCGTTACCCCCTGGGCCAAAATTTTTTCACTACGTACGGGGCGATTTCGCATTGCACACCTTACTGGAGAAATGGTATTGCAACAATGATAAACGAGCTTTAGCAATGTTTCCAAAAAAGTCCAGGGCCCCTGGACTAGACATGAGGCCTCCGCTGACATAAATTGGGACTAATGCGGTAGAAGGAGTGGGCTGCTCACAAAAAAGACTAATTTCAGGGCCATAAGCAACACTTTGAGACCAGCCATGTTGGTGGGAACCTCAAACAAACTTCCACCCCTTTTCCGTTGCGAACTTCCACCCCTTTCCAAAGCTTCCACCCCTTTCCCCCCTTCCACCCCTTTCCTCTTCCACCCCTTTCCGGCCTTGTGAAACCCTATCTACATATACGGCCAAGGTCATCATGCCAGGGAGGCATACACAATGGATGAAGCTGCGCTCCGAAAGGACAAGCTGCCATCTTGTCATCCTGGCTCTTTAGACTACTGCTGACACATCAAACAGCCTTGGGAAATCGCGAGCGATGACGCATTCGCATCAAGTGGCTCATATCAAGTGAAAAATGGCAACTCGGGTATCGGACCGATTGGTAACAAATGCAAACAGCTGAGCACCACGTCCGGCTCATACAAGTGCGCATTTCGATGCGATAGGCGCGGGCTTATCCAGCCGAATATCGATTGGCGGGGTTAGCTGCGTAATCTGGGATATCTGCGACTCTCAGCGGCTGGAGGAGCGCTTCGAAGCGCGCAGATGACGCTTTTTCGGATTTGAATCGGATGCCGTTTTCCGTGGACAATGCTCGACGCACGCTTGGCATCCAGATGATGGAGCAAGTCCGGTGATAGCATTCTTTTGTGCGATCCCGAAATGACATTGTAATGCCACTGAATGCAATGTCGGCCGTTTTTGTTTCTTTGACCTCGGGGGTACGACTACATGGTCCGTGCGTTTTGGTAATCCCCATAAGCATACCTGAGAGCTAATTTAAGAGCGCTCACTTTTCCAAATATGTTCCCGTCTGTTAGCCCACCCCAGTTGGCTCAGTGGGTGGAGCCATGAGGCTTTGAGGGCAAGGTCGGCTCGGCTGGCATCGTGTCATTGTTCTCTCCTCCAATATGGTTACCGCAGTATTGGCAGATTTTGGACTGAACGGAATTCGGATTAACATGGCCTAGGGCCTGGAATAGACGGCAATCTGCCATAGGGTGATGTGCCAGCTTCATCACAGTAAATCCAGCCATCACAGCACATCACATCACTCAATCACAGTTACCTGGGCACTGCTCGATCTTACGTTTCACTGAATATCCGTGAACCGCTCAATTGTCCGCGACTGGACACTCGATGTCTCCTGTTCACGGGTCCTGGGCGCGTCTCTGTCCCATGTGAGTCACAACACCAACAACCCGGCGCGCAACTGAGCAGCTGCACGGGCGCCGCCCGAACCCCTTCTGCACGACCCCATGACACCAGCCGGCCGGCGCGCAGGCGCCACACTACCGAACGGAGGCCATGCAGCCGGGTTCGCTTGCGACATGAATCGGCGTGCTCAGCGGGGCCGTGCCGGCACATAGCGGCGTGATCACGAGCTGAGCAAGCTTCCCACCCGACCATGACGTGCTGACAGACGGAGTGTGGCCATGACGTGCTGACAGACGGAGTGTGGCCATGACGTGCTGACAGACGGAGTGTGGCACAGACGCTTTGTTAACAGACTTTTCGGCGGTGTAGACTGGTTTGCGCCGATGAGACGGCAGATTAGGGAATGTGTCTAGGGTCGCGAGCTTTCCGTGGCGGTTAGTTTGGATGGGACGAGCTGCTTTCATGTGCTGCCTCGACCAAATTCCTTTCGTAGGTGTATTTATCGGCAACGTGTGTCAGATATGGCAAAATGTCCCGTGCACTATGTGTGCTGTCAGCATGTATACCATGCATACCACTAGCATGCGTGCTCAGTGGTCATGGCATATCGACAGATCATCAGCAAGTACATCTGCTAGTGCGAAGAGATCGCATAGGTTTCCACCAGACCCACGCCTGACGCGACAGCTCAGTGCAGGACACATGGCGGGACACGCGGTTCCCGTCCGCCGGCTCCGGCACCACACACGCCTCGTATGTCGCACCCCGCCGACACGCACAGCGCGCTGCGCTCTCCGCTGTCGGTCCCGACTCACGTGCCGGCGCCGCTCGTCGCTCCTCTCGTCAGCGCTGACCGCCGGGTGTTGGCCGCTGCTGGCGCGGTGCGCCGTACGTCGCGGTCGCCGCCGCTGTCCGCGCCGCCTGCCGGCTGGCTGCGCGAACCGCCGGCCGCCTGGCCTCCACACCTGGCACTGGTGGCCGCGCGGCCGCAGCCGTCGCCGCCGCCGCCGCCGCCGCCCGCCAATTACAGCCGCCGGGCACGGGCCGTGTCACCACCGCCGGAAGTGACGGCCGACGGTGACCGGCCGGGCGGCGGGCCGGTCCGGACCGGGTCAGCCCGGACAGGTCAGCCGTGTCGACGGGGCTGGGCGGAGGAACGCCACTCCCTGTTTACACGTGACCTCCAACTTGACCCGCTGTCGTTCAGCCTCCAATGAGTTAAAATGACGAGGGGTAGGTCGGGTGAAAATACAGATTGGGTCAGGTCACGAGGTCAACATTGGGAAGTCGATTACGTCAGCGGGGTGCCGATGCCGAGTCGATATCAGGCTAGTTAGCAGCAATTGCTCTGACAATAACTTCTGCTATGCTGAAGGCAAGCGGGTGATCAAATGACAGTAGCTCAGTTCATGGGCTGATGACATGTAAACAGCATCAGTGTATAGTGATTAGCCTTGCCACGATCCCTCTGCTGTTACATCGATCTTGTACCGCTCAGTAACGCGCGCGCTTGCCATTAAGCAAGTACGTGCGTTCTCAGGGACATCCTCAGGGACCGTCAATCTACTCACCGGAGTAGATTAACGGCCCCTGAGAATTCAAACGAAAATTTAATGGCAGGATCTTTCTGGCTCTTCTCAGTGACACAATCTAACAACAGGTTCCCTGGAGGTACGACACACCGTCCATCATTGTTGGTCAGTGTAGCGGTCGGCACGCTGTTTTAGGGCAGGTTGGGGGGGGGGGGGCGAGACGGGACACGACGCGCGGGGCGCGTGCGCCGTCGATGCCAGCTGGGCGGTTGCCTCAGATCGTGCCTTTACTTCATCGAGGCGCGAGCCATTTCACCGCCAGCGCTCCGCCATCGCTCTGAATTCCGCGGACGCACCGCTGTTCCGGTCTGCCTGTGCATGTAAGGAGTCGGATGCCCATTGTCGTGGCTGGATTCGCCGCCAGGAATGGGTGGGGATTTCACCAGGTCATTCCCATTGTGCGCCATCAGATCAACGACCGCCGCCGGGCCGCACCAGTCCGGCGGCCGCGCCGCCAGGCGCGGTGAGTGACGTGTGTCGGCTCAGTGAACTGGCCGGTGTGTGCAGGCAGCCGTCCGTGTTTGTTGGCTCGGTATGTTATAGTATGTGTCGGCTATGTGAGCTGTCTGGGAGTCGGTGGCATGTTGTCTTACCTGGTGCTTGTTGGCTCTCTGAGCTGCTGTCTGGCGTTTGTCGGCTGGCTGAGCTGCTGTCTGGCGTTTGTCGGCTGGCTGAGGTGGTGTCTGGCGTTTGTCGGCTGGCTGAGGTGCTGCTGTCTGACGTTTGTCAGCTGGCTGAGATGCTGTTTGATGTTTGTCGGCTGGGTGAGCTGCTGTCTGACGTTTGTCGGCTGGATGAGCTGTCTGGGAGGCAGCGGCATGGTGCCCTAACTGAGCTACCCATGGGGCTGTGCCTGTACCCACCCACTACCTGGGCCTAATCAGTTGTACCTACCTGTCCCCCACCCGTTTGCATCCCAAAGCACTTTAGTTTGAAATTATCGGAGAGTTTCGGGAAAAATGCTCTTTGTGCCCAAAGATGCCTTTTTACTTTGATAATTGCAAAACTATGTTGAACGGAGCTAAAGTGCAAGCAGTAACATTGTGTAGTATGCCCTGTAGTGCCTACCCGATGTTTCGTAGGAACCTTATTACTCATGCCCTTACCCTTACCGAAAATCGTTCCCAAATCTGTCCCAACCCAGCCTGCTACCAGTCCCGTATTGCCACCCATGATTTTGCCGAGCCCGTGAAGTCCTCTCGTGCCGACTGTGTGACATGTCTGGCGCCTTTTAGCCGTGTGAGCTGTCTGGCGTATGTGTCAGCTGGCTGCGCTGTCTGTCTGTACGCTGGTTGCGTGCGTACGTGTGTGTGTGTGTGTGTGTGTGTGTGTGTGTGTGTGTGTGTGTGTGTGTGTGTGTGTGTGTGTGTGTGTGTGTGTGTGTGTGTGTGTGTGTGTGTGTGTGTGTGTGTGTATGCGTGTGTGTATGTACTATCTGATGTATGCCGCTAGGTGATATGCGATGTGAGTTGTCTGGTGCATGAATATGAAGGTTATGCACATTGTCTGGTGCGACGACAAATACCACGGCACCACTGCCGCTCCTTGACCCCATTATCGATGCAGGTATTATCTGAATGCGTTCTGCCACAGAAAACATTTCATCAGGGTGATGACATGTGGGATTATACGCGTATGAAATCCTGAATGTTGGTAGACAAATTTGCGTGCAGGTTTTTGCATCGTAAATCGACTGTTTTGAGGGTGGGGATTTTCAATCATCCGCATCCACTTGCGTTACTGGAACATGGCGATGACATTCTCTTAGTTCTAAGATTGTTCGGCGATGACATATGTAAATTAAAACGGCATGTTGTGTTTAAATTGCATCAGGTCGGCCACAAACATAAGCATAGGCATGTACGCAACGCGATATTTCCAAACTGTGTGCTTACGTGAAGCTGAGCAAATTTTCTTTGTCATGGGTCCCAGTGATTTTGCTTGCGGGCTAATCACACTTAGTTTCGCTGCTCTTCATCTTCTTTATTCAAACACGGAAAGTAACGAGCTATGCCAGAGTTACATGGGAAAAGACAGTGGCCTGCCAAGGCCAGACACCTCACGACACACAGAGCTCAGCCTTGAGGGAGGGTACGAACCCAGACCAGCCGTCCACAGTTGGCCGCTCCAAAAACCGCACCGTGCGCTGTATGTACCTGCCAAACTGCCACCGCAGCCAGCGAGCCGGCCGTACTCATCCATGCAAAGCGCCGCATCCACCGGCCCCCTCGTCTTGTCGCCTTAGTGACGTCACTGACGGCCCCATGCGGTCCGACTCGGTGCGGGCGCTCCCGGCTGGGTGGTCTGTCCGCGGCTGCAGGTATTGGTGGTGGGGGACGCGGGGCGACCGATAGGCGCCGGTGCCGCCGCCGAAAATAGAGCGGCCGACAGGCGCCCTCTAGCGGCGCCACTCCGGAAGCAGGCTTCTCGCCGGCGCAGCGGCCGTCTGCAGGCCAGGATATAAATAAACGGCGACTGTGCAGCGCGCAGCGGACGGCGGCGACCGACGGCCGGCGTCGGAGGTGACGACCAGCCGGCGGCGGCGGGGAGGTGACGACCGGCGGCCGGCGCCGGCACCGGCGCGGGCCGACCGGCTGGGCTCGGCGCGCGGGGAGGTGATTAGCCGGCGGCGGCGGCGCGTGCGAGCGCGACAGACGGCGGCGCGCCGCGCGTTGGCCGACGGAGGCGCTGGGCCTGAGAGCCGACGTTAGGTCCGGCCCGGTCAGCTGATGGAACAGTCGGCGAGCGGGCTGCTGACGCTGCCTGCCATCTAGTGACAAAACAGGAACTGGAGAAGTGCAGTGATTTGGGGATGTGTAGAGGGACGGAAGCCTTTTGAACGATGTGGTGTTTTACCAGACATCTGCCGTTAGCGTGCCGAACTTCGGTTCCATCTTCGAGTCTGCTACTCACGGGTTCTTTAGTGCGAAGACTTACAGCCCACAGCCACACCTGCACTCTGAGCAAAATTGCACAGCTACTACCAGATTTGCCAGCATTCAAATTTTGATTCTAGTCGTACCATATAGGTACCCAGACAAAAAAACCTCAGGAAACAGGACAATGCAGCTGTAGACCGGAGTAGACCAACAGGCGTTCGTTTGTGTAGACGGAAGAATGACTGACGGGTGTTGACCATTTTCTGTCTGTATGTCGGAGAGCGAGGAGAGGACAACGGCAAAAAGTGACACGCCTGTAGATCGTCGGCGTCGGGTGCCTGCACCCAGCTGTTTTCACTGATGACGACAAGGCCGGCCGAGCATGCAGCTGTAACGCTGCGTGCCCGGGACCTTCCGAGCCAATGTCAAAAATGAACGTGGCGAGTGAAATGATATTCATGAAAATGCTAGATCACGTATCGAGCTTCGACAACATCGTGGCAGGGACGCTTGAGGTCTTCTCAGCTACGGAGAAATCACAAATTGGCAAGTCACAGCTCATAGACCTCATAAGCATCACGGTGCGGTCACAGTCTTCCCAGGACCCAGCGAGGCGATATCAACTCACGCTCCATCTGGTCTTGCATCAGCACGGACCCAGCGTCACACGTGTTGCAGCTAAA